TAGCGGTTACGCTTCGCGTCCATTTCGAACCCATAGCGGTTACGCTTCGCGTCCATTTCGAACCCATAGCGGTTACGCTTCGCGTCCATTTCGAACCCATAGCGGTTACGCTTCGCGTCCATTTCGAACCCATAGCGGTTACGCTTCGCGTCCATTTCGAACCCATAGCGGTTACGCTTCGCGTCCATTTCGAACCCATAGCAGTTACACTTCGTGTCCATTTCGAACCCATAGCGGTTATGCTTCGCGTCCATTTCGAACCCATAGCGGTTACACTTCGTGTCCATTTCGAACCCATAGCGGTTATGCTTCGCGTCCATTTCTAACCCATAGCAGTTAGTAGTTCTTATTAGTACCTTCTCTATTATTAGTAGTAGTTATATCTATCCTATACTTAATTAACTAATCTATCTACTCTTATAGAGTATATTTTATACCTATATACCTAATCCCTTATTCCCTATCTCTAAACCCACCATTATCCTCCCCCTACTATAAAGGGGCCTTATTATTCTATAGATTTAGTATTTCTTATTCTACTAGATATAGTAGATAGGCCTAGATAGATCTAGATAATTATAGAATCATAAGGCTAGTATAAGTTAAATATATTTATTTCACTTTAATATACATATTTTTATATATATATATATTAAAATCTGCCTAGATCTAGATGACCCTACTATATATATATTTACTAACTAAAGGTCTACCTACATCTGAATGACCTTAATATATATAGTTTAGACCTGTCAAAGCCAAATCACCTAGTTGAGATACCCCACGCAGGGACCTATCGAAGCCGAATTATCTAGTCTAGGTAGCCTGCTTATAGGCCTCTCCCTACTAGACTACTAAGTCTAGACCTACTCTCTAAATGAAATCTATAAAACATTAACTTCTATAAATTTTTAAAAATTCTAGGCTTAGCATTACTAAACATGCTATATATCATTCTTCTAGTTAAAATATGGCCTATTCACTAAAAATGATGATGATTAGTCAGCAGGTAATAAATTTCAAAGTGTTTTTTAAGAATTTTTAAAAAATCAGGAATCATGCTTATATAATCAGACTATTATTATTCTATAGCTAAAAGTCCCTACTACTTACTAAAAATATTTATTATTAGCCATCTAGTACTAGGCTCTTTTTAAATACTAGAAATTATTTTCTCATAATTTCTGCCTGAATTCTAAGGCTCTTCTAGGCTAATAGATGCCTTAGGCACTAATCTATACTAGGTGGTGGCCTAAAAGGGTATAGACTTCCCGCAGATTGTGGTCTTGGCATACCCCAACAAAAAAATTCGACCTTACCCCTACCCCCCTAGTTGACCACCTTCCTAGTGACTAATCTAGAATTTAATATTAGAATATAATAATTTAGCTAACTAGAATCATAAATAATTTTAAATCATTTAAAAATATTAAGATTTGATCATTTTGAGGGGGGGTATGAGTTACCCTCCTCCCCCCCCCCCTGCCAACCCTAGGATTAGTATGATGCCCCCCCCGGGTATGGGCCATTATATTGTTCGGCATTTATTAGTCTTTTTAAGAAGGGGCATCTAGCACCCTAGGAGGCCTACTAGGCCCTGCCTATTATTATATGCATGATCTGCCTCTAGAGAGACATGGGGGATCCTGTTAATATCTCTAACTTAACTGCCTTGATTAGTGATAAAATCCCACCCATGTGGATAATATTAGTGGATGTTTAGCACCCTAGACAAGGAGGCACATCACACTAGTGCCCCTGGTAGTAACAGCCAGGGGCACCTTAACTAGTGTGTAATGCGCCTCCTATATCACCTATCATTCTTACTACTACTAGATGACTATTACTAAGCAGCTAATGCAGAAACTAACACCATGGCCCTGGTGATAGTAAAGGCAGTAGACTAGGGTGACAGAGGGTTTACTAATTTTTAGTAGAGAATAACACCTGGTGTAAGGAATATAATACCTATAATATAGGTAGGGGTGGCATATTACCTGTTAGTAGACTGTATAAAGCTTAGATACCTCTTTCACATTTTCTAATAGGAGGGCCTATAGCGGAACCTAACTAGCAAGCAACCCTATTTTTTAATCTTCTATCACTAGCCAATGGTAATATAGATGGTGGAGATGTTTTTAGATGTAATTAGCATCCTATACATTACTATCCAGGCCTAGATAGGAGAGGTGGCCTGCTAGGAGGCTACTGCTAAGTTTATTAACTCCTAATCCTCTTACTACATCCTACTTATATCCTACTAATATAGGGCCTATAGCCTCAACCTCTATATAGAGTATAGCTATATGATCCTCCTTAAGCTGCCCTTAAATCTTAATATACTTTTTCAGGTGGTAGGATGCATCCACTGCCTTAGGCAGCAAAGCAGCTAGAAGGTGTGGTCTATCTTCTAAGAGTATACTATATCTAGATGGTTGGAGTGTAATAACATACTTAAGGCCCTCCTATAATTCTTAGTATAACTACATAATCTACTAAAGCCTATGGTCATAGCAGTATGGGTAAAGGATGACAGCAAAGATGAGTAAGCTACTAACTAGGCTGAGGCTGAGGTCATCCAGCAGGCTGCAGCAGATTATCTCTGCTATATACTTAGGCAGCCAGCTAGTTAGCTAAATATTAAGCACCTAGATGATCTCAGCCTACTATAGTGAGATCTGGACTAGATGAAAGCCCATATAATGCCTAGGGGCTGCAAGAGAGAGAGAGTTAGGCAGGATTCACTAACTAAGGCCCGCACATGATGAAAGCACACTAAGGCTATAGCTAGTAAGGTAAAGTATCACCTATCTAATACTTGCCCCTCCACCTTTTGACCAGAGCTGACATTCAGCTAGTAGTTTAGCTCTAGCTGAAAAGCCTGGGATTATGAGTTCATCTATATAACTAAAACTAACTAGTAATATAATATAAATCCACTAAGTATATAATCTTAGACTCTGAGAAAGGGTCCCCTACTAAGGAGAGCAGCTGCAGCAAGTCTAAAGCTAGCTACTCAGGTTTAGATATAGATAGTGGCAGAGATAGCCCTAGCCCTGGTAATAGGGGTCATCACCCCGGCTCTCCCCACAATAATAATAATAACAGCAATGGGGATGACCATAGTGGTAGTAGTCAGGGCCCTATCTCTTAGGACAATGATAATAATGAAAAGGTTAATAATGACAAGCTATAGTAGTTAGAGCTAGTATACCCCTATATTCATTCCTTACACTTCCCCTTAACATGGATATTAAGCTAACCTTAGGCTTTAGACTCATGCACGGCAGCTAGCAAGGCTGTAGAGAGTTATTAGGGGTGGTGATCTGACTACACCACCCCCTAGCTAGCAGGGAGTAATTAGAGTGAGTGCTATAGGAGTAATTAAGGTCTTAGGAGAGAGCTCTCTACTTAGCTCTACACCACCCATGGTGCTATAGTCTCTAAAGTCTAATACCCCATGTGGATCACCCCCTAACTACTAGTTACCCTTCCTCCTACCTTAGGCGCCCCCTGCGCAGCCTATAACCCAGAAACATAAATAATAGCAGCTAGTTAGTAAGTCTTCTCCCTTACTCCCCTGCACACTGCTATTCCTCATAGGCACTAATAATTTTTTAGAGGTGACAGCAGTAATGGGGCGGCCTTAGCAACACTAGTAAAAGGCTGTGCAGTATAAGGTCTGATCTTAGTATGCATCTTCTACTTTTAGCTAGGGCTGAAATCACTAGATTATCTCTAGTGGCCTTTGCACAGCTTTCATTTCTGCCACCATCTTAATCAGCCACTGCTATGGTTCACTATTTATTTAGTGACTGCATATACAGTATCATGCTCTGTGTTTGCTGCCATCCCTATCTATCTTCTAAAGTTTAAGCATGCACATACCCCAGCATCTACTTTTGGCCAAGGCTAAAATCACTGAATTATCTCTGGGCGGCCTTTGCACGGCTTTCATTTCTGCCACCATCTTGATCAGCCACTGCTATGGTTTGCTATTTGTTTAGCAACTGCATATATAGTATCATGCTCTATGTTCACTGCCATTCTTACCCTTCTTCTGAAATTTGAGCATGCAGCTATATAACTTTTGGCTGCCACCTTATTATTCCCTTATGGCTCACCTGGTGTCACTATAGGGGTTGATCTTTTCATAGCTAGATTTAGAGAAGGCTTTATAGAGAGTACTGGTCTTCCTTTTATCCTCTCTCCTTAGTGCTATTGGTGCTCTGGGCTTTTGATAATTAACTAGCATTGGGCATCAGGATGATTGTTATTTGCAAGGGTAGGTAGTGGGTTTTATTATATAGTATGGATGCCCTAGTCTAATTATTATTTATTCCAGTGCAGATTAATGATTAATCCTATGGGTTAGCCACAGGGCGTTATTTGCACCAGGCCATAAATTATTAGTATAGGTGGAGGAAGAATAGGAATCCCTAATAGTAGTAGTCTTCTAAAATATATTTCTGCACGCACATGGGTAGTAGAGTTTTATGAGGTTACTCTATAAGAAAGACCTTCCTACCCTACTTCATACATTATCCAGCACCATTATTAATTAAAGGCTCTCCTAAGAAGGGGTAGTCTTCATCCTCTATAATAGTAGTAATAGTGATAGTAGTGATAGTAGTGATTAGGGTAATTTATTAGGATCTTAAGCCATCCTGAAGGGTGGGAATTGTTGGGGGTAAAAACTTAACAAAATGTATACATTTCTAGGGGATTAGGGGGCAAGACCCAGGTCACCCAACCATAAGATGGTAGGGTAAGGGCAGGAGGAAAGTTATAGAGATTAATCCTTAGTCTAGAGAGTGAACCTTACTGTGTACTTCTTAGAAACTTTTAATCCTACTTCCCACTATATAGATGAGGATGGTTGATTGATTGATCCACCTACACATCAGGATGATGGATGGATTAATTAATTTATAATTAATTAATCATAGTAGGGTCGCGTGACTGGCAAAGATGCTCTTAGGGTGAGGATAACACTTATAATTAATAAGACTCCTGCTTAAGGGAACTTCAACTCTGGAGTAGACATGGACTCTAGAGTAGATGTAAATTATAACTAATTAAGCTACACTCTATACTCTATATAGACCTAACCTTCTGCTCCGCCCTACTAACTTTAGTATAAGGCCTGAGGGTCTATACTTCTTGCAGAGAGTCATCTTGGCAGACCCTAATAAAAAATCTTAACATGTTGACTATACGGCCTTCCCCCCCTGGTTTAACCACCTTCCCAGCAAATATCCTTGAATCTAATACTGGAATGTTATAATGCAGCGGATTCGCATTATTAAATAATTTTCAA